AACACTGATAGAATAAGCAATTATTATTAGTATTAGTTCTCCCTCTAAATCTCAAACTGTACAAACTGTAGCCGTTCTGAATGCTGCAAATAGATTAAGTCATAACTGAAGTTTTTTTTTTTATTTTATTTTTTTTTAATTATTCTTCTATTCAGTTTCCAGCCAGGCACACCAGATCAGAAACGGAAAGAAGTCATGTGGAAAGTGTTTCGTCAGGACGGTGCCATCATGTCTAATATCCAGCCTGACAAAAGCTATAAGCTCACTCCAAAGAGAGACCTACAGATTAAAGCAATCAGCTTAGAGGATACAGGCCAATATTTCTGTCTGAGAAACAATAGCTATAAAGCTGTCTACCAAGTGGATGTACACCGCCAGCTTAACTACCACATCGTAAGAAACATGAAATTTTTATTCAATTATATAGACTATATGAACATTAATAAATTGCATAAGCAGATATGGTAAGGTTTTTACTCTATACAGTGCATGAGGAAAAATATATAATTACTATTATCAATGTATTTTTATTATGACACTAGCAGTAGTGCCTGGCGTTGCCCGGGGATGTAACAGTAAAAGATAGATCAAGTATCAACCATCATACAGACGGAAAAATAAAATTGACAAAGATTATTGTTTAAGGTTGATGGACACGCATGTCTTAATTAGTTTTTTTTTTTTTTTTACTAAGTGGTCAAACTCAAACAAAAACATTGTTTTCAATCGTTATGAGTCTACCGATTGAATAGAATTTTTCAATTTTATTATAAACAATTGTCTTGTAAATGGAATTTTTAAAGCATTCTGAATGTAAAAATAAAGAAAAAAGTGCCTGCTCCCCCAAAAAGTGAAGTTTTGTTGAAATCAGTTGAAAAATGTAGGAAATCCGATCCCATATATAAACAAACACACACACAAACAACCTGGGTTTTATAATAATTATAACTCGATATGAGTTGTCCCCCTTTCATTCTCACGATGCCTCTTAATCGTGTTTTCAAATTGATTTTGTGCAAAAATAATTGGGTTTTTCCAATTTTTGGCTCTGTCAGAACCACCGCAAGGTAATTTTACGTAGTCCTGTGAAGTTTTGTTAAAATCGGTTGAAAAATGTAAGGAATCCGATCCAATATATAAACGTACAGACACACACACACACAACCTGGGTTTTATAATAAGTATGATTACTGTTATCATTACCATTCTTTTAAATCATTTCACCCCAAGCAAGACAGGAATGCCACTGGTACGCAGGGGTTACAGAGAGTGAAAGTGAGAGAAAAGACTGGGTATAGTGGGGATTGATGAAATGATAAAAGATGAACAGAATTCAAGAAAATAGAAGATAGTGATTAAAGTTGCATTTAAATTTTTGAAGATTATAATTATCAGGGAAGTAAATAAATGGAAGAGAGTTCCACAGGCGGGAAGTGCAAGAAAATAAACTGTTGGAGTAGAAGTGGTGGTTACATTTAACTATTTCAAGAGTAGAAAGGGTGGGACCTAGATGCCAACCTAGTAGCACACTCAAATTCATATAGTCGGGGCACCAGGGAAAAAAAGCTTGTGTGAGCAATTGCCACAAAAATATTTGTAGAAAAGACAGAGGGAAGCCACACCACATCTGTGAGAAAGTGAGTGAAGTTGAGATGCCAAGTCAGGATCAATTGTATTGCAGATCTTTCTTTGGATTTTGTCAAGAACCTCAAGATGAACTGCAGGAACACCAGTCCAGATATGGCAAACAGTATTCAATGTATGGCAAATGGTAAACTTGTAAATGTTCAAGATGGACTCTGAGGAGAAAAATCATATTATATTCCTCTAAATACTAATGATTAAAACTAATTTCTGTATTGTTGTCCTGTTCATATTAAATTTTCTAAGCCCTCTTTCCTAATTATGTGCCTTAGAAATTTAAAAGTAACAAGTATAAATTTCGTTTTTGTTTCCACTTTCTCTAAAACTTCGTCATTGCCCAATGTTCAGTCCATGGTATTCTCAGTATCCTTCTGTAGAAACACATATCTATTACCTGAAGTCACTTCATTTTTGATAAAGTTGTCCAGCATTCACTGCCATATAGGTAGGAGGAGGATCGATATTACATAACATTTCAGTACTCTCTACTTTGTTGCTAACAGAAATTTCTTATTTCTTAATACTTTGCTTAGCTTTTGGAAGGCATCTTTCCTTATCCCTTTTTCAGATTTTGGTGTCACACCTTCTGTCCTCTGTTAAAACACTTCCCAGATATTTAAATTTCTGGACTTGCTTGATTTTAGTGTCTCCAGTTTCTAATTTGCATGTGGAGCAGTCCCTTTTGCACACAATATAATAAAAATACATCACAAAACAGTTTGTACTAAAAACCCTGGTTTGAAAAAACACTAAGTACTAGTTAGTTGTTAACATGTTATGGACTGACATTACAAAGTATCTCAAAAATGTATATATATATATGCCAACAGCAGTCAAAGTAAATTTCATGAAGATGTATGATGGACTTTCCCGTCAAGGTTCCAATGACCACCTACTAATTATTTACATGCCTATGATGGGCATGACTTTTGAGGTCAGCTTGGGAATTGCACAAAAGACCACCAATAGAACAAGAGAAACTACTGTATGCAAATGCAGCAGGAAGACTGTTAGAGGGTTTTATTTCGCTTTCGTGTTTCATGCAGTCGGATGATGCTTATTGCTTGATGGTGCTTTATTCCTGCATTGCAGCTAGAATGATATTCTGATCTCTTCAAAGTTCTTGAACGGACTGCTGTTGCAAGAAAAGTTGCTCTTCAGTTTATCTTTATACCTGATCCAATGTCTACCAACATTTCTATAACAACTATGGAGTTCACTGCAGAAAAGAACTTTTGATACAAGATCCTCACTCATCCTTGCCATATGGCCAGCCCAACGCAGGTGTGATTGCATTAGGAAGGTCTCAATGGTATCAATCTTACATTTCTTAAAAATGTTGGCATTTGACACTCGATCATCAAACGTGAGGCCACAGACTGTACAGAGATAAACTTTTTGGAAGACATCTAATTGTTTAATGTACCATCTATAAGGTGTCTCAGTTTCAGAGCCATACAAAAGAATTGACAAGACAAAAGCTTTGTACACTTGGATTTTAGTGCAAAGCTTTATTCCCCTTTCATCCTACAACCTATGACGCAGCAAATCAAAGGAAGCGCATGTGATTCACTTGAATTTACCATGCTTCCGAGGTATTTGAAAGATTACACATACTTGAGATTCTTTCCATCAACTTGTAAAGGAACCTCAGGAAACTTATGAAAGGGGGATCTCTGCTTTACACCTCAAATTTAAAAAAAATAGCACTGAATAGCTAATTTATGTCAGATTTAAGCAGAGAAGAAAAAGTTTTGAGATATTGATGAATACTGAAATAAATTTTTGAGTTGTTAATACTGAATAATACTTTTAATATGTCATTTTGGCTAGTTCATTCTCCAAACTTCTTTAGGTGACATTTTATTTTTCTGTTGAAAAGTGCTATTGGTCTTTTGTGGTACATTGTCAGATATAACAATTATGTATCTTGTTTAATTTTATTACCCCAAGAGTTGTTATCTTATTGGGTGTAGGGGACACAGACATATACCTCTGTCAGTCCAGCATAAATTTACTTGCTGTGAAGTTGGGTCTCATTCGTGAGTCCAATCAGTAAATTTGATACTATCTTTTTTTTTTTTTCTTTGTACAGCAATGATTTTCTCACACCCATTTTTACTTTTTATAGAATTATTAAACTTTAAGCAATAATATTGCTAATTCTTCTTTTGATTTTATCAATGTAAATAGCAGGAGCACCGAACCATATGCGGCAGAAAAATTGGAAGCAAGAATCAATAGATATGTCTGATAGATTTTGGAGAGAAAAAATTGTCTCACAAAACACCGTGAACCAAATTAATGTCAACTTTTGTTCTTTAATTAAAAAATGCATATATCTGTTTGACCTTTATTGAAAAGAAATCTTTTGTTTAAAAAAAAATAAAATAAAGTTTCTTTCCATATGAAGAAGAGTTAAGTTCAGATAACTCTGTAAAAAGTCAGGGATTTAAACTGTATCAATAATAATATTGATGAAGACACCATCCCTTTTGTTTCCACTTTCCTTAACACTTCCTAATTAATCACATTGCTCAGTCCATGGTATTTTCAGCATCATTCTGTAGAACAATATTACTGTTACTTCAAATGTCCTCTTAATCTCCAAGGAAATTTTCCAACTCTCACTGACTTATAAGAGGACTGATATTACATTAAGTTTATCATTTTCTTCTTTTTTCCTAATTAAATTTTCTTGTTTCTTAATACTTTGCTGCTTAGATTTTGGAAGGCATCTTTTGCTACTCCAATACATTTTTTAATTTTAGTGTCACATTTTTCATCCTCTGTTAAAATACTTCCCCGATATTTAAATTTTCATACATATTTGATTTTGACATTTCCAATTCATAGCTCAGATCCTGGGCTCATCCTTTTGCTGACAACCATAAATATTGTTTTACAATTGATGTTTAGTCCTTTCTTGCAGCCTTCCTTTTACTAAATTTTTCAAAGAGTTCCTGCAGTTTTCCTTCTGAGTTTGCTGTCAACACAGCATCATCTGCATATTCTATGTTGTTAAGATTATGCCTGTCAATTACAAATCATGGTTGGATTTCTCAGTCTCTTAAAATCACTTTATGGTAAAGGTTTATTTTCTATGGCTTTGCAGGTTATTTAAAGCCAGAAAATATTTTTAGATTGTAAGAATTATCTTTTCTTGTTTGAGTTAAGGAATTAGTGATACAAGTTTTATTAATTAACCCATAGCTGGAGGTAGAGGAGGTGGATTCATATTTTTCCCCAAAGGTATTTGTGCTTAAGTGAATATAACAAACCCAACTGGAATTGAAACTTGATTCTCTGATTAACAAGTCCAAGCCATTATCCATTACAACACCCACACATCCAAGCTTACAGCACCTGGTGTTCCCAAACAGTCACCCATCTAGGTACTGACCAAGCGCAACATTGCTTAACTTTGGTGAACCTGCAGAAACCAGTTTCAATGTGATGTGGCCATAAGACACAGTAAAGTTTGAATAAAACTGTTAACTAGAGACACACCCCTTTCTATTTTCGTGTGTTTACACAATTCATTTTCACAATATCATTAAATAACATCCTGATGACGAAACAATATCTGGAGCAATAAGACTAAGCTGACAACAACCAACAAGAGAAATAATCAAAAATAAAGAGAAAAAAAATATAAAAAGAAAAAGAAAACCCATTTGGATGACACAAACATTCAACACCATAAAGAAGGTTTTCCTCAGGATTTTTAATCAAGATTAATAGCAGAGAAAAGCTGTTGAGATGTGTAGCATTGTCAGACTGTAATAAACTCAAAAGGCAAGAACATCTTTTTTCTGTTGCTTGTGGGTCTCCAAACATCCAGTCACTGTATGTCATTTATCAGTAGAGAGAAAGTCAATCAAAATTCAAAGTCGATTTATTCATTCCACAGGAAAACGTCCTGCATTGATAGCATCTCATATTGATTAAGCTCAAAACTAACATCAAATCACATCAACAGAATATAAATCACAATTGTCAACAGTTAAAAATTATTCTTAACACCATTGAGATATCATGCATTTTACAAGCATACAAATGCACTGAAAAATATCAGTTTGCTTATAGTAGATGTCTAAGTTTCACACACACACAACTCTATATAAAACGCCTTTTGTGGGTTCTAGAAGGATCTTCTACATCTTCAGAACGTTGACGATCATGGCTCACCACAATTTCCTGACCTTTGTAGCAATTAGCAAATTTTGACTTTTTGTTATCCTCTCCTAAACCCTGTTCTGCCAACCATTTACACAAACTCATCAAGTTAATTATGTGTTGTCTTCTGTCACTCTTGCCTTAATATGTCCTGTGAGTGTTAAATTTTTTAAGCCCTCTTTCCTCAATATGAGCCCTAGAAATTTCAACTCTTTCTGATGTTGTGCAAGTGCCCCTTTTTGTTTCTATTTTCTCTAAAACTTACATGTTCAGCCCAGGGTATTGTCAGCATCCTTCTGTAGAACGACATATCTGTTGCCTCAAGTCTCTTCATTTGTAATGAGATTGTCCAGTATTCACTGTTTTAAAGGAAGACTGATATTACGTAACATTTCAGTATTCTTTTCTTTGTTTCTAATTTTCCTGTTTCTTAATACTTTGCTTAACTTTTGGAAAGCATCTTTCACTATCTCAATGCCACTCCTGGATTTTGATGTCGCATTTTCTGGCCTCTACATGGTTATAAAAAATATGACTTTTTTTTTTTTTTCTGCAAACAGCTAAGTTTACAACTTGCTTTTTCTTCTGACTGCTTCTTGCTGTAACACTGTAGCAATAAGTATATTGGAATATCTCTTCATGTCACAGATGGTACAAGAATATATTCAACGAAGAAAAACTGGATACCAAAAATCATCATGGCTCACTCAATATCTCCTGCATATTAATTTATTTAAAATACATAATGTATATAATGTTTATATACATACATTATATATGCTCTAAAGGTTGTCATAGCCGGGGCGTGATAGTGGGAACAATCTCTGACTGTCTATAAAATGCTTCTGTGGCATGTGTCTCAAATAGTCTCTGACAAGTCCAACTCCAACTGAATGGGTGAAGGCAGAAAAATGGCACCTCATAACCAGCTGCTTCAGGTAGATGAAACTCAACAGCCCAGGAAGGCAGTCCATCTAGGGGAAGGAAAACCCTGATTTTATGATAAATGTTTATTACTGCTTCACTTGATTTATTTCTTATCGTTAACACCCTGATCACTACAATCTTAATCTGTTTAAGTCTAGGATTAACTGTTATCTTCCACATATATCCGCATAAGTTACTCTGTAACCCTCTACCTTGAGTGGCCCCAGAGCCTTGTAGGGTAAACACCACTGTAAAATAAAAAAAATTAAAAAAAAAAAAAATTTTTTAAATGTTTAATTTCAGGTGGAGGAAAATTCAACTAAATTGGCCAATGAACCTATTCCAGAAAATAACTTGGAGTTGGTCAGTAATTGGTCACCCTGGACTGAATGCAGCCAATGCGGCACCAAAGGAATACGCACAAGAACAGGAATATGTACAATCAAAGTAAGTGCTATATTATTTCTAAAATTTGGTATTTATAAAATGAAATATCATTATCTCCACCCATCACCATTAAAACACCATCAGAGTCTTTTAAATCCATTCCTAAGCAACGATCAGAACAAAACATACCCCAAAATACTACAAAAATAAATATAATTTTAAAGATAATAAAGAAAGTATATCTCATAGAAAAGTTTATGTCACTTTCTTTTGATCATTCCTCTCTTGTTTCTTTCTAAAGCAAGCAGATATAATAAAAAAAGAAAAATATTCATAGATCTTCAAAACTTGTGATTTTGAAAGAAAATTTCTGTCGAAATTTCCGGTATGAGGAGTTCTCATTATTTACATTGTCTATAGTCAAACTACTGTCCTCATCTTTGTTGTTATCCAAACAGTTCGACCATTGTGCCCCTATTCCAGACTTCATCAGATGTATACTGATCCAGTTAACCTACAGGGATTTTCAAACTAAACCTTTCTATATATTGTTCTCATTACACTGCCAATGCCTTGACATATATCAACAAGATATCCCTAAATATGGGCAGTGGAACGTGAACAATCTAAACCCTATATATTATATAAAGGGTTCAGTTTGAAATTTCCTGTAAGTTATCCAGATCAACATACACCTTATTAAGACCAGAGGACCCAATGACAAAACGTGATAACAACAATGAAGATAATCTGCATTTAAATAATATAAAGAAAGAAATGGTATCATTCCTGTGAATGGCAAATTGAAAAAAAGAAAACTGACTGCTTTTCATTCTTCAGAATTCCAAGGAAATATTAATATATTTTGTATGGATTAATTTTATTGATTGACTTTTCCAAATTACAAATAATCCTTCTCCGATAAGAAAATTCCATATAAAATATAAATATATGGCTAACTTAGGAAAAAAATATTTAATAAAATAAACCTGCCATTGATGCCAGATATATTGATGACATCTTCATCCAAACCAAATCTGTTAATGACATTATGGAACTTAAATTAAATTTTTGAAAAAAGTCCATTTTGAAGTTAACTTATGAGCTAAATACAAATTAAAAAAAAACAAAAAATTTCTAGATATTCTCATTGATAGTGATAATTTTGTCACATATCTATACAAAAGTCTACTTGTTATAACTCCTACATTCTAAACAACATTGAATGACATGAAAACTATAAAAATGCTGTCATTAATAACTTAATCTAAAGAGCTCAATTCATTTCTTCACCTAAATTAATTTTCCTCAAAGAATTAAATAATATGTAACAAACACTTATCAATAATGAGTACCTTAATTATATAGTCAACAAGCAAATCAAATATCATTTAAACAACACCATAATTACAAAATAGATGAAATAGCAATAAAAAACAATATCATGCATAGATATATAAAATAACTCAATAAAAATAAATACATTAGATTCATTATTTAATACAAACAATTCAAAACTAGATACTTATTGATTAAAATATATATCTCAACCTTTCAACGTCCTATATAAGGCCAATGTTGTATATGAATATACTTGCCCACTCATAAAATGTTTCTCTGTAAATAAAAACCACAAAAGGTCTTAGATAGGACATACCACAACCTCACTTTCACAAAGACTCACCTACCACCTGTTGGACCATAGTGCCATCAGACAACACATGCATAGATATATAAAATGGCTCAATAAAAATAAATATATTAGATTCATTTATACTCAGACTGATAGGGTTGCTATGGGAAGCCCTATCCGTCCTTTACTTTAAAACTTTTATATTGTCAACTTAGAAAACAAAATACATAACAAATAATCCCACCATTTATGCCAAATGTATTAATGATATTTTCATCCAAACCAAATCCACTAATGACAGTATAGAACTTATAAAAGAAATCTATTAAATTCTATTTTAATGTTCACTTATGAACTAAACATTGATAAAACAAAACAAAAAAAATGGATACTATGGACACCCACATAGAAAAGGATGATGTGGTTTTAACTCATTCTAGTGTTTCTGTTTGATAGCCAGCAGATGGTTCCTTTTTGAATTCTAGTTTTCTAAGTGGCATCAACTTTGACAGAATGACAGAAGGGGAATGGATAAGTAAAGGAGTTTATGAAGGGGTTTTGGAGATTGAGTGACAACAAAACTAAAAATAGAGTGTATCCAGGTGCTGGTCTATATTAACAGTAATGCTTAGGATCAAAGTCCTTTCTGGCTCACCCTTGATGTTGTTGACATTCAGTGTGTTCCTCCCACATTTTGGTAGACACCAGTAAGCAGTAGGTTCAAAGCTAGCATCCAGCTTCCAGACAAAAATAAACAAAGTCATAACTTAATACGAAACTCTAAAACCGTGCACATCATCATGGTCCCAGCTGAACTGCCAGCCAATGTCCCAGACTGTTTTATTGACCAAAAACACAGCCAACGCACCAATCATCGCTGTTGGCCTCATTCTCAATCAGAGTCCCCCAGCTTGACCAATCAGCATGCAGATCGCCAATAGACAAATCGTGCCAAGCAGCATAAAATAAACAAATGTCGGAGAATGTACTTTTCTCGAACCACACTTGCAAGAGGAAAGGATGCAGTTGACAAGATAACTGTCTAGCTTGGGTTTATGCACATATCCATCATAAAACAGCAGCCCAACAAGCAAAACATCTTGGATGCTTTGAATCCGGTAAGTGTGAATATTTATCGTCACAGATGGAAGACAAACTTATGCATCATGCAGTTCTGATGCTGTTCATTCCTATTGCCAGCCACATGTCAGTATGGATAAATGAGCAAGAAGTTGATAGAGGGAAGCGAGATCCATATAGCAGAAGTGTCATTTACCTATCCAAGCAAGCAAAACCCTGAATAAAACATCTATTTTATAATATGGGAAATAGGGTT